TTTGGAAAATATATTTATAACCATAACAATTATACTAAGTTTAACTTTATTTCTAATTCTAAACTAAATTAAATAGCTTGTATTAACTACCAATTCTGAATTAATTTTATTTATAATAATTTATAGTAAATATGATGCCGGAAGTTTTAACTAGACAATAAAATTGTAATACTTGGAAAATTTTTAACATTAAAAAATAATATAATTTTTAAAAAAATAAACTGGTAATCTTATTCTCCAAGGTAAAGTCTGTTAAATTACCGATCTGATTTTCAAAAAAAATGCCTATATAAAAAGTTATAAGCATTTCAACTTCAGTGTTTTTCATATTGTTTGTCTGAATTTGAAACAAATTTTGTCACGTGAATGCAATTTTATTGGCTGAAAATCATCATAATTTGAGCTGAAATTATGATAATTTGATGCCGGCCCGAATTATCGTAATCAATTTTTCACGAGAATGAGTGATCATGAGAAAATTTTTTAGATTTTCACATGTAAATGAAAAATGTTTTATTTGAATAACCCAATAACTACTTTTTAAATATTACGTAAAACAAAAAGGCAACTGCAGGTTAGCAAAATACCAAGAAAAAAAGATCATTACCTGTCCAAAAATCAAGCAAAAACCAAGATAGAGGTTGTTAAAAGTGAAAAATAGATGGATAATAAGAATATTGACAAGTGGACAGAGGGTGAAAACCAGATAGATGATGAATATTTGAATGAGTTTGAGAAAGTGGGAAAGAAGCTTATTACCAAAGTTCTTTGTTGGCATGGGAAAGCTATGGGTAGTATTAGAGCAGCATACAATAGAACTTCAGGAACCACATTCTGAAGGAATAAAAAAAAGAAAGAGTTAGTGCGTAATGAAAAGGGAATGAGGACTCTTGATACATTATTTGAAAGCACTGAAAAATCAACCAGTATTCCCTTATCACAATCATTAAAATCGCTATCTTCATCTCTATCTCTATCTTTATCTTTTGAAACTATACCAAATTCTTCTTTAACTTCTGAAGAGATCACAAGAAATCTACAGATACGTTTAGATGAAATAAGTCAACGATGCATAGTAACAAAATCTGTAAAAATGAATAAAAATATTTTTACCTATGACTATTTACATCATCTAAGTATACACAGATATATACAATTATTATTAGATGGTTGGGGTAAAATGGATGCAAGTAATCAGATTGTATAAACTGTGTGAGACAAAGGTGATTATATTGCAAGATATATCTGAAAATGGGAAAATCATTTTATAAAAATGGGAGACTTCTTGTTTATCGTCAAGGGAAACATACGAAACTAGAAAGTTTGCTAAATGATTAGGACTTTAAGGAAGAATGTCAAGCATGGTTATAACGACAAAAACCAGAATCACGTACCCCTAGAAACCTGAAAGTATATATTGAAGGAACGGTATTTCCTAAATTGACAGGTCATATCAAAAAAAGACATGATTTCTGAGAAAACATGCCAAAACTATATACATTTGTGGGGATATAAATATGATGAGAGAAAAAAGGGTTTATTATGATGGGCATGAGTGACCAAATGTAGTGAAATACAGAAAGGAATGGTTAAAGAAGATGTTTGAATATCAAAAGCTAATGAAAGATTTTGATGAAGATATGATAGATATAGTTTCAGAACCCCAGTTTAAGCTGGAAGAAAAAGAATTAGTTCAGGTAACGCATAATGAATGTCATTTTTACGCAAATGATGAACAGCGGAGAATTTGGATGAGAGAGAATAAAGATATCCTATGCTCAAAATACCAAGGACGCTCTATTATGATTTCCGTTTTCCTTTGTTCATGTTATAGATTGCTACATTTATCTGACGAACAAATGCAAGAAAATTTGCACATTAAAAGTAAAGAGACTTTCGTCCTTCGTTCAGTACAAATAGACAGATATTGGAAATCAGAGCATGTGCTGGATCAGATAAGTCAAAAATTCATAAACCTAGATCAAAGCATGATTAGAAAATCGTAAAAAAACAAACATAAAATAAATGAAACTTCCTTTACAAAAATTAGCTTGTGCATCAAGCTATTCCGATATTTGAGATATTGCATCCTGGTTGTGTTAGTGTATTTTATTTTGACCAATCTACGAACCATAATGTAATAGCAGCTGATGCACTAATTACAGTAAGAATGAATTTAAGTTCTGGGGATGCACAACCTAAAATGCGTGATAGTTGGTACATTAATAAAAACTTGTACATTCTATGGTATTTATAAACTAAAAGGAAAGTTGAAAGGTATTAAGCAAATACTTATGGAGCATAACCTTTGGCTAGAAAATGGTGTTCATTTGATGTGTGAGCAATATTCTGAAAAATAAGATGATATTGATCCAAAAAGATTAGACTGTTATGTGCGAAGAATAATGTCATTACAACCAGATTTTTGTGAACAATGATCAATGTTAGAAGAGGCAATAATTAAAGCAGGATATATTTTTGAATGCTACCCAAAATTCTATTGTGAGTGCAACTTTATAGAACAATACTGGGGTTTTACAAAATGAAAAACAAGATGCCTCTGCAGTTATAATTTTAATGATTTATTGATGCAAATTCTGGAAGTTCTTATTAATGTAACGACTATCTGTAAATTTACACGCAAGTCATAGAGGTATATGGATGTATGCAATAAAGAATTAGAGGGTAGAGCCGTTGAGTGGGCTGTTAGCAAATATAAATCTTATCGTCGCTTACCTGTAAATATCAAAAGAATTATAAAACAGTTAGATAATACAGAATAATAAAGAATTTAATATGATCTTTATAGCTGTGACAACTGCTTTCTAAGCTTGTTGTTTCAATACGTTAAAAATGTGTATATACAAAATTAAAGTTTCAGAATCAAATTTTTATTGGCAGATTTTAAGTCATGCATACATACAAATTAAAGTTTTGAAATCTTAAATTTTATTGGCTAATTTTGAGTCACGTGATTCAGGTCAGTTTCGGAAAATTTGAAACAATATTATGTGATTGTCGAGTTAAGACTTCTGGCACTATATTAAGAAAGAATTAACACAGTTAATATAGAAAACATAGTAAATATAAGAAAGATTTAATATAATTAATATAAAAATTATAATGAATATTAAAAATTAAATTTTAATAATAAAATGCCACCCCGAAAGTCAGACGCGGTATTTATTATTAAAAAAATTAAATTTTAATAATAAAATGCCGTCCCAAAAGTCAGACACAGTATTTATTATTAAAAAAATTAAATTTTAATAATAAAATGCCGCCTCAAAAGTCAAATGTGGCATTTATTAATAAAAAAATTAATTTTTATTAATTTTTATATAAAAATGCCACCCTGAAAGTCAGATGCAGCATTTATTATTAAAAAAATTAAATTTTAATAATAAAATGCCATCCTAAACGTCAGACGCTATATTTATTAATAAAAAAATTAAGTTTTATTAATTTTTGATATAAAAATGCCGATCCAAATGTTGGAGGCGGATTTTTTGTTAAAAAAAAATAAAATTGTTGTTTTTTCACATTAAAACGCCGTTCTGAACGTCGGAGGCGGATTTTTGTTAAAAAAAACAACAAAATTGTTGTTTTTAACATTAAAACGCTGTTCTGAACGTTGGAGATGAATTTTTGTTAAAAAAATTTTTTGATCTGTCAGATACGGATACGGATTCAGATTTGTCGAATTTAGATATGAATTCAGATTCAGATTTATCAGATTCAGATCGAATTGAATTCGGATTTGTCAGATTCAGATCAAATCAAATTCAGATTTGTCAGATTCGAATCGAATCAGATTCAGATTTTTCAGATTCGGATCGAATTGGATTTTACCCAAATCCGATCTGATTCGATCTGTGTGGAATACTAGTTAAAATGAATGAAACATGTGTTGTTTTAAAATATTAAAGGAAAATAAAAAATGAGAAAGAAATGAGAAGATTAAAAAAAGAAAATTGTAAAAAAAATTAATTAAATAATCTTTTTTTATTACTAATTAGTCAAAATTTCATCATAATTTATGTTATATCTTTATCTTTAATAATTATAATTATTATTAATAATTTTAACTATTAGTAATAAATTTATTAAATATTTAAATTTTAATTATATAAAAACATAATATTTGGATTTACTAATTTATTTTACAAGTTCTGATTATCTAATATAATTAATATTAGTTAGATTAGTATTAGTATTAGGGTTAGGGTTAAAACTTAGGTGATTTATCTAGGATTAAAAAAGTCAAAAAAAAGCCCAATTGATCCTAATTAATTTTAAAAAATCATTAGTTTTAAAAGATTAATATTATCATTATAATTAAATTATAATTAAAATTGCTTAGTAAATTAAATTAAATGTCTTTTTAAAATTTAAAATATTAGATTTAGAAATTAGTCAAATCCTAAATTAAGTATATTTTTTATTTTAAATTAATTTTAATTAAAAAGATAAATTTATTTGTCAACGTGACAAATAAAATAGTTAATTATACCAGCGAATCAGAACTTTGGGGGTAAATTAGTGAAACCGATTTGGAATTAGGGTTAGTGTATAAGTCACAAAAGTCACAATTCCTAATTATTATTAATAATTTAATTTTAATCATATAAAAACCACAAAGCTAATATGCATGAGGCGTTGCCTTTAACATAAACTACATAAAATAAACATGCGAGCCTACCGCACATAAAAAAAACCAACCAAACAATATATAGTATATAAAATAATAAAAAGTTGATTTGTAATACCAATTATTTCTTTTTCTTTTTTAAGCCTCCCGTTTTTCTATATAAAATTTTTTATTTTAAAAAAAAGAGGTCTAAAAAAATTTATATGTTTGGTATGTCGATTTTTTTTTTAGTATATATATTATTGATGTTTTTATGCGAACATTTCAAATTTTTTTTATTCAATTTTAAATCCGTTTTTAAAAAAAAAGAAATGAATCAAATATGAAAATCTTTATATTATTCGTTCTTATGTTATTCTCATTAATCATTCGTATTTCATCAACGCCACAAGAACCCGATTTTAAAGTTTCCCCATCGATTTCTGTAAAGTTAGTTGGTCCAAATGATGGGGATAAAGAACCTGCACTACAAATTTTTCCTCTTAATTCGGATATTAATATTGAATGGACAAGTGAAGGAATAAATGATTGTAAGTTGAAATACATTGAATCAAAATTCTATCAGTGATCATTAACACGAATTTTATTTGTATATTAGCAACCATATTTATACAAGTCCATTATATCTTCCCAACTATTCCCAAGGAAACTTACGTTCCATTGTTGAAAGAGCCAAAGGTAAATTTTATATAGAAAATTCTTAATTTATTTGGTTACTAATAAATTTTTAATTTTATTTATGGAAAAAAGGAATCGAAATTAAAAGAGAATAAATTTAAATTAAGCCTTGATTCGGAATTATTTGAAACCGAAAAATTTTATTTGGTAACGGTTACTTTGGAAGGGGATCAAAATGTTGTTGGTACTTCCGATCCTTTTGGTATCTGTACGGCATGTATATAAGAAAATTTATGTCCCGTATGATAAATTTTGAAGATTACGTGATGAATTTGAAATCCAAATTTAGAAAAACTTCACCTGTTTCACTTTTTAGACATCAAATATATTTCGGAGATATTTATATATATAAATATATATATGTATATTTTTTTTTGGTCGGAGTTATGCATTATTCTCATAAATGGAAATGAGTTGTAATACCTTTATCTTTACTTCTCATTCATTTGTGAAACAAATAATAATAATTAAAATTATTTTAAATACTGAACGGATTACTTTCAAATAAATATATTTGAAAAAGTTTTTTTTTTCAAATTACTACAACTTTTTCAAAAAAATGAAATCATTAAAATCATTAATTATATTGGCCATTTTGTTTATACAGGTAGATGAGGATTTGAATTTCTTTATTTATAATTCGAATTCATGAATAAAAAATTTAAAACGAATTCATTTACCTTTTTAACATAGATAACTCCAAATTTAGCTATAGATTTTATAGAATTTTTTGGAACCATAGAAATTCCATCTGATTTAAGTTGGATTGTGTGTAGTGAATACCGTACTAGCTTCATTGGTAACTAAATATAACTTTTTCAAAAAAAATGAAATTCAAAAAGAACGCATTTTAACCAATTAAATACATATGAATAGATTTTGGACTAGAGTTGGCGAAAAATGCTGATTTAAATAACACACAAGAAATGGGTATGATTGTTCAAGGAGCGGTAAACTCCAATACATTTATAAATCACGAAGGAGGAATTACGGCGTATGTTTTACGCCAAAGCAAATTAGAACAATACACAAAGAGCGAATTATTCGAAGAAAGTGAGGGAAAATTTGATAATTATCCCGATTATTCTTGTTCTTCCCCAGTTGTATCATGCGGAAGGCATACCACAGCACGTAAATTCCTTCCGGATTATGATTATCAATGTTTAATAGTTGCAAATCCTAATTATGAACCAGTTGTAATCGCATATAATATCAATTTTTCTTTGCTTGTTGAAAATGACGCTAATGTTAAGGCGAGATTAAGTGGTGAAGTTATTCAAATATTAATAATTTGTTTTATGGTTATAATTATGTAGATTTGATTTTAAAGATTCGATTTATACTTTGATAGTTTATAATATAAATAAAATATGCAAGTGGAAAATCTCGATTAATTAATTTACACAAAATTTCTTTATTTCATTAAATTACAGTTTGATCATTTCCAAAGGAAAAATAATTGTATCGAATGACATTTAAAATACAATTTTCCATTTAAGCTGTTAAAGGAACATCAATTGGACTCTGTAATAAAAAAGGTTTCATTAAATTGTATATTTTATGGAATACTAAACTAATTAATTTAATTACCTTGCCGTTTCGGATTTCAGTAGCCGTTGGAAATTTTCCAAGTCTAAACTATAAAGGATTGAAGGAAAAAATAAAAAAATTAATACAGATAATCCACCATTTAGGTAAAATTATAAATTACGAACCAATTCAGAGCAATGAGATGCAATAGGATCGCTTGACATTGTGGCAACTGCTAAAATTTTATCACCACCTATTGATCAAATAAATTTATTAAGTAAAAAAAATATATTTATCTAATGATTTGAATCATGTATGACAAACTTACTTGCGTAGAAAGCCGCAAATTTCATTTCTTCTAAACTTCCTTGCACAATGACGTCATCAAAGCTACTAGCGTATCCACAATAACGTAACCCTTTCGAAAGCTGATTACTCCAAAAGTAAGGAATCTTTTTGAACGGAATTATTTTTCTTGATACTATGGCTTCAGCAACTGCTCTTCCCGTATTCTCCGCAAATGACTAAATATAAAATTGGTTAAGTTTTTTAAAAGCAGCATTAATTGAATGAACGTAAAGGTTATGTACCCAATGCTCGATTCTAAGAGGTTCACCGGTTACAGAATAATTAATTTTAGCAATATCACCAATTGCATAAACATCTTTGAGTCCCTCGACTTGGAAACTATCTGTAACCTTTATGCCGCCATCTTTCTCGAGTTTAAATTCGGGCGTTCCTTTCAAAAATCCCTAATTACATAATGTTAGATAATAATGTACAACATTAACTTTTTTTATATTTTTAAAAAAAACGGCTCACTGTTGATGGTATGACGCCAGCACCAACTACTACTATATCGGCCTTGATTTTGGTTCCGTCCCCTAAAACCACTGCACCGACTACGGTGGGATCGGTTTCTAATAACATAATAAAAAAAAGTAATTAAAAAAAATTTTGAATTCAATGATTCCTCGACATTGACGTACCAGATGGTTCAATAGCTGTAACTCCAGCTTTAAGATGGAATTTGATTCCGTGAGATTCATGTAGTGTTTGAAATACCTTTCCAACCTTTTCTCCAAGCACTCTTTCAAATGGTACCTAATTAATTGAATTATATAGTTATATGAACTAATTTAAAACCTAAATTTAGTAATAAAAATTTAAATACCTTCTCCATGCCAATTACAGAAACTTTAGCCTTTTTAGACGACATTGCCGCAACTTCCATTCCGATAAAAGAAGATCCAATTATTACCAGATTCTTTTTTTCATCATTTTCATTAACGATACCTATTTAATAAGCAATATATGATTATTTAACAATAATATAATAATTTATATTCATTAATTATTTTGAACTTAATTCACCTTCAATTTTTTTATAATCATTAAAAGTACGAAGGTATAAAACATTTTTTAGATCGATTCCCGGAACCGGAATTGATCTCGGCTATTTTTTTTTTAAAAAAAAAATTTCTCAAAGGATTCATTCAATATTACAAAAAAAAAAAAATAGACAGTTCTAATATATTTAACTTACGTCGGCACCGGTAGCGATAATCAAACTATTATACTTTAACTCTTCTCCATTATCAAGAGAAACAGATTTTGATGTTGGATCTACCTTCGTTGCAGCCTATAAAGGCAAAAAAATTTTAAATAATTTAAATATAGAGCATCTCAATAAAAAAAATACGTACGGTTCCCAATTTAAGTGTGATAGACAATTGGTCATAAAATGCCTGATTTCTGAGAAATAATTTTTCAATTCCAAAACCAAAATTTTTAGAAAGCTTTGGCCTATAAAATAAATATAATTAGAAAAATTAAAAAAGCATCAATTTGTATACTAAATATTTCGCTTGCTTAACCTATCGATAGGTAGGTACGGTTCTCGACTCACGAGAACGACTCTTCCGCAATATCCAGTCTAAATACGTATCATTGATTAATAAATTAGCAAACGATAGTGCTAGAATAATTCATTCTTATATATACCTCGCGAAGTTTTTCTGCAGCTGAATTACCACTAGCACCACCACCAAGAATTACTATGGTGTCATTTTCCGTAATTACATTACCACCACCAAGAGTATCTTCATTAATTGTAGGCGTAATGATACATTTAGGAGGACGTCTTCCCGCTTTCAAGGCTGGAAAAGAAGGAAAAAAAATTGTAAATGTAAAAACGAAATAATATATAAATTTATCTTATATAACATTGAAAATCCTTGCCTGCTTCATCAACTTCCACGTAGACGTTATCATCATCTTTGATGATAACCTATTCGTGAAACTATTAGTATTAATATTAGGTTAAATTCGGACTAACTTTTTATAAAAATTTTTACCTTAAATGATTGAAGATTATCCATTCCGGGAGAATCCTCTAATGACGATCATCGCAATTAAGCCGATTAACGTTAAAAAAAATTTTATATAGCATCCAATAACAAAAAAAAAGTATTCATACCGATATCTCCAGTTTTGACATTAAAACATGCACCGTGCCAAGGACTAAATTGAGGGATCGTATTACAAACCATAAGAAATTATCAATATAAAGATAAATAAACTTACCAAGTAATACGTCCTTCATACGATAGAACGCCTTTGGCAAGGGGAGCCTATGAAAAAAAACATCAGAATTTAATTTTAAAAACTTTAAAATAAAATGATATTATTTAAAGTTAAGCATACTCCATAATGAGTACACTTGCTAGAAGTAGCGTAAATTTGTCCATCAATTTTCGAAATGAGCACTTTAGAGCTGCCAACAGCTACTTCTTGCCTAATAAAAAAAAATTAGCCACAATTCGACGAGGAAATTACATAATCAATTTGAAATTACTTGTGCCCGTCTTTATAATCAGATATTTTTCCAATAGGGTATTCGGCCATGGTCAAGGATCGTAAAACGCGAGAAAAGTTAATTTGAACAGGTAAGGAAAGTTTCGGAGACTTGAATGAAAAAAATGAATTTCTAAGAAGTGAAGAGCGAAAATTCATTACTCAAAAAGTCTGATGCGATCGTTTGGTAATCTCAAGAACAATCAATCACATGACTATGAGAATTTAAAACGATAGGAAATTTCTTGTCGATATTACAGTGAATGCAAGTTTTAATTAAAATAATGAATTTCAAAACGTCGTATCACCCTTATGCTGATTGATTTAAGCTCATTCTTAAGTTAGAAAGTATCGACCGTTTTATATTTCAACATCAAACTAATTAAACCTGTGTTCTCAATAATTAAAAAAGGATTAGCATGACTAACCTTTTTCTAACTCTCACTCCCTTATAAATTTTACCCTTTTTTTTTTAAAAAAAAAAACCAAAATACCATTATTCATTCTTTTAACATTCACTTCCTATTCTCGATTTTTTACCTTTTCATTCTTTCATAAAGTCTCTCGGCTGGCCGAGCCTTCCTCCTTCTCAAATATTATACCTTCATCACATAAACATCTCGGTCAAGGATCGTTACACATTCGTTGATTAGATTCAGAAAAATGAGTAACAACAACAACAACAACAACATACCAGGATTTATTCCATATTTCGATGATGGAAGTATGGGCAATAATTATCCACCAGAATACGAAGCCATGAACAATTCAGGATATAGAGGTAGTACCGAAAAAACAAATGATAATATACTTCAACCGGAAGAAGTTGCTCTTCAAAGACATACCTCAGCTAGAAGACTACTTATGGAGAACGAACGAACGAATATTGCACGTGATGATTCCATGAAAAAGCTAACAAGGGGCGATGGTGCAAAGAAATTGCAAACACTTAACAAGTTTGACCCTTCATTTAATAATAGTTCTGATACTGTATTAAAACCAAGTACTTTTTTCGAAAAGTTCCAAGCTTGGATGATTAATGAAGGTAATTTAGGCTCGCTATCGATCATAAATAAAAGGATGGGACACCTTTTTTTGATTTATGAGTTCAAAAATAAATAACTTTTTTTTTAATTTATACATAGGTGCACGAAAAATATTCACCTCAATGTGGATCATTATTCATGGACTGGTATTTTCAATGGCATTCCTCAATTTCCTTTTCCATGATAATTTGAAAAACGCAAGAGATACCTTTGGAATTACCTTTGTATTTGCACGTTCTGCAGCTTTAGTCCTCCATGTAGATGCGGCCGTAATTTTATTTCCTGTGTGCCGCAATTTAATTTCATTTATCCGTCAGACTCCAATCAATAACGTTATCCCATTAGATCAAAATATTGAATTTCATAAAGCAATCGGTTGGTCTATTCTATTTTTCACAATTGTCCACACTGTATCACATTGGATCAATTTTTATAGATTGGCCGTAGCAACTAATGGGGGCATTGTTATGTGGCTTAAACTTAATTTCATATCTGGACCAGGGGCAACTGGATATGTTATGCTTATAATTTTAATTATAATGGTAGCTACAGCCGCGGAAAAACCTAGGCGTGCTCATTTCAATAGATTCTGGTATCTTCATCATCTCTTCGTTCCGTTCTTTGGTGCTTGGGCTTTTCATGGAGCCTTCTGTATGATTCAACCTGATAGAGAACCAAAATGCAAAGATATCGCCGCATTTTGGAAATATTGGATTACATCCGGTTCAATTTACATTGGAGAACGCATTCTTAGAGAGATACGTGCTCGCCATACTACATATATCTCCAAAGTCGTTATGCATCCATCTAAGGTTGTTGAAATTCAAGTTAAAAAAGAGCATATCACGACAAAGGCGGGTCAATATATCTTCTTATGTTGTCCCGAAATTTCACTTTGGGAATGGCATCCATTTACATTAACCTCGGCTCCCGAGGAAGATTACATCTCAGTACATGTTCGTGTCGTTGGTGATTTTACCGAGGCATTGGCTAAAAAATTGGGATGTGACTATGAAGAAGAAGACAAATTAAGAAAAAAGAATAAAGATCGTATCAAGAGTCAATATGATGGAATTGATCTTACAAATAATCTTGAACTTCAAAAGGTTTTGCCAAGAGTCATGGTTGATGGTCCTTTTGGTAGCGCTTCAGAAGATGTATTCAAATTCGAAGTTTCTATGCTTGTGGGTGCCGGTATCGGTGTCACTCCATTTGCTAGCATTCTCAAGAGTATCTGGTAAGAATTCAATCGCGTGAACTTTATTTCTTGTATATAAAGATTAATAAAAAATTTTTTTTAAAAAAAATAATCTAGGTATCGTGTTAATTATCCAAAGAAATCCACAAAGCTCCGAAAAGTTTATTTCTTTTGGATTTGCCGTGATTACGATTCATTTGAGTGGTTTCAATCGTTATTATCGGCTATAGAAGAACAAGATCTTCAACAGTTTATTGAGATCCACACTTATCTAACAGGCCGTTTACGTCATTCGGAAGTTGGTAATATCCTTGTTAATGATGACGGAAATATTAAAGATACTGTCACAGGACTTCGTTCACCGACGCATTATGGACGTCCAAATTGGGATAAAATCTTTTCAAATATGAGAGATCGTTACCCAGCTTCTGATGTTGGCGTTTTTTTCTGTGGACCCAAACCTTTGGGTAAACAATTACACACAAAATGCAATTTATGGAGTCAAGGGTTCGAAGATGGGACAAGGTTTTATTATGGAAAAGGTAATTTTAGATATGGGATGTGATTTTTATTTTATTTGGAATTTGATTTGAAAACTAACAATCCATTTTTTTTTAATTTTACAGAAAACTTTTAACCGAATTAAAAAATAAAATTTCATTGTAATTCATTCATCACTTCATATATATAGAACAGACAGCATTAATAAACTTTTATTTATTCATTCATTCAATAAATTGATACAATTTTTATTTTATTTTATTTTTTTTCTTTTTATAAATATTTAAATTTTTTTATTTTTAAAAAAGGGGATTTTATTTTAACAATGTTTTTGTATTGTTTTTTTTTGTCATACATGATGATAATACTTAAATTAAAATGCATAAGATTTGCATGTCAGAAATTTCATGAATCACGTGACAGAATATGAGCAAAAGATAAAGAAATGAAATGAAAAAATTGACAAATGTCCAGTTAATTGAGCAAAAACCATGACATTATCGATATACATAATAATGAAATAAATATATTTTGATAATGTGGGCAATCTATATTAGTAATAATAATATGGGCGGCACGGCTCAAAGTTTTACGGACCTTCGTTCATGTAATGGAGGATATATTAGAATATGCCAATTCCGATGCAAATACAAAAATGCCTCTTTTTCTATTTTACAATATCATGTATGAATAATAGGCTAAATTGATTTTGAAATTGATGATAATTTTAATAAAAATATTTTATATAATAAAGAATATAATAATAATTTCTTCCAAATGTTGACTATTATTAAAAATTTATGTCGGACCTATTTCGCCCTATCAATAAAAATAATTACGCCCACTTTCACGGGATTTCTCATTTCATTTTCAACGACTCATATGAATAATTTATCACAATGGCAAAGAAACTAACAAAAAGAAAAGATAAAAAATTGATGAACTTTAATCAAAAATATTGATTTACTTTTTATTGGTTTTTTTTTTTGAGGAAAATTTCGAAAGAATTTTCACTTAGAATTTCGATTCGTTAACTTTATACAATTTCTAGTACAATGGCCATAAATTTTATAATCCAATCAGAAATTTGGACGGCCAAAAAAAAAAAATGGCAAAAAAAACTTTTGGCGCGTTTAATACCAACATTGCTTTAAAGCATACCAAAACAAAAAAAATAAATAAAATAATTCAATTATAAATCGTGTGTTCAACAACAAATTTTTTTTTTATACGGAAAAAGAAAGAAACAGGATTTTGGCCAAAAAGCGAGAAAAAACTAAAATTATATTTTGGGGTTCTTTCAAGAATATTCTTTTTACACTTCAATAATAGATAATCACGTAACTTTATCTCGATGTAAAATCGTTATTTTATGAATAACTTAAGATAGATAATCAACACGGTAAGATAATTTGTTGTTCGTGTATTGTCCTCGATCACAATTTATTAAAATTGACATTTTTATGTCACAAAAATTCCTAAAAAAAAAAAAATTTCCCTATTACGGGTATTTGTTTGCTTAAAATTAAATTGAGAGTTATAAGGTTAAATTATTCATGATTAATTAATCTCTATATAAAACTAACCATATTTTTATCATGTGATGTTATAAACGGACATTTTACTATTATTTTTAAAAATGCGTATTTTTTTTTTTAAAAAAAAAAAAACCTGAAAAAAAAAACGCGATCATTTGTCAGCAAGGCACCAGCACAGCCACGGTAAGTCATTTGATAATCAAGCCACTATTGGTGAGAAATTATAAGAAATTTCGATTACAGCCCTAATCATTCAAATGGACTACATTGCGATTTTACCGTGTTGAATCCTCCTTAGCTTTTTTTTTAAAATTGAACATTTCCAAAAATAGAAGCGGGAAAGGAAACGCAATATCATTTAAGCCATTTGATTTGACCGTGATAGGTTCATTATAAGCAATAAAAAGCCACTACAAGAAAATAATTTTACACGGAAAAACTTATTTATAGATACATTGCGGGATTTTTTTTTACCTAAGCCTTTCTCTTAAAAAAATCATATTGTTTTGTACAGGTGGTCATCTTTATATCATACTGGTTTTAGTAATGGGCTTTGCTGGGTTGTGGTCGATTGATTCATCATAAATTATCAAATGAGGCTTTTATACGAAAATTAAACACGATCGAAACTTCAATTAGAAAATAATCTAGTTTTTTTTTTTTTTTTTTTAAGGAAAACGTGTTTTAAACTCAGGAAGCGAACGTATATTTAAACAGCGAGACTTTCTTTCTTCTTTTTCAGACTGCAATAAACCGAAAGAAAAAGAAGAAAAAACAATTAAAAACAATAATACCACATTTTTACAAATTAATCAAAATGAAGAACTTTTTAGCCCTTTTGTTTATTACTATCGCTTTAATTGCATCGTTCACCGTTGCCCATGATGATTATAAAGAAGATTATGAAAAACCAAAACATCAAGAAATTCATGTTACAAGCCCAGGTTCTGGTCCATGGGCCATCGGTTCCACTCAATCCGTCAGCTGGTGGTCTCTCTCTATTTCAACAGAATGTAAATTTTTTTTTGACCATTTTAATAAATCTTTTTATTCGCTTTGATTTAACTAACAAAAAAGTTCACGTTGAATGATTAAAATATAGCTCTGGTTATAATTGAAATTATTTGTAAAGGATCCGGCAAAGTTGTTTACTCTGGTGAAGTCAGTATTAAATATTATTAAATCAAACGTAATTTTATTCAAGATGACCTTTTTTTTAAAAAAAAACTTTTGAAATTTAATTAGGGCTCTTGTGGAACCGGAAACCATGATTTCGTTGTTGGTAAATGGGATACTGAAGACAAATATTTCCCCGTCGTATATCTCAAAGATGACAAAACATGCAAGGGAGAGGGCAGTATATTTACGATCTTCAAGACTGATGAATATGGAAGTTACTACTAGATGTTAAACGAACATTAGATAATATTTTATATTTCCTTATATTTATAATTTAAATCATTGTAAATAGATGCTATGATTTTCCTTGCTAAATCTCAAGGGAATCATCTTTGCAAAAAAAAATAATAAATAAACAACTTTGATCAAAAAAGTATCAATTTGAAAAAGAATAAAAATTATTGAGAAGCTAAAGATTCATGATAGAAACTCATTATTGAGTGTATAATTAATTAATCCTATGAAGCAAATAATGAGATTTTTATTTAAATAAAATTAAAAACAAATCACGTGGCAAGGTACATTTAATCCTCGAACTTTGGCCATCTTCCTTTTGAAGGACAATTCTTTAAAGGACGCCATTCGATTTCAACTCTACCCAAGTCTAAATTTGCCAACTTTTTAAAAGCAGTAGGGGTTAAGTCAATATTATCAGATTCAGGTGGACAATCTGCACATTTATCAATGATTTTCACCACAATTGATGATTTATCGTTTGCAGGATTTCTAACTTCAATACATTTAAAACACATTTCTAATTGATTCATGAATGTGGCAGCGATCATATCATTTTCATTTGCATCATAAGCTCTCAATCCATCTCTACCGTAACAAGCGGAATTCTTAAGAGCTGATCCTTCGTAAAAAGTCATTTGAGAATTTATGAATTTGTTTCTATGTTTATGTTTTTTATCTTTCTCATTACGATCTTCACGGTCGTTTTCATTTTTATCACGTCTTACAAAACCACTGGATGGATAATATTTTGCTGAACCAACAGACCGAGCCTTCATAACCGAGGCCTTGGTGGAATACCATTCACCATTTTCAAGTGACAAATCTCTTTTCACTGATGCAATTGCACTTGTCGCGACAATTGTCGTGAGGATAAGGCATGAAACGAATAATATGTTAAAAAATCTCATGATTAAAGTTGAATAAAGAAAATAATGAAGTTGCAGGGGATATTTTATTTTTCTTAAAAAAAATTTTCAGTTGTAACTCAGAACTTTTGAAAAGAGGGAAAAAAGGAAAGATTAATGTTTATTATTTTATATATTATTATTAAAGGAATTAAATTTGATTACCGTGTCGGCAACAAGAAGTTTATTCTTGATTGGTAAATGGGGGAGGAGAAGGGCAAAGGAAAGGAAAGTGAAAAAATCGTTGGCGCAGGAATCAACAACGAAGGATAAAAAAAACCAGTTTTTTTTTTTTTTGAAATGAAATTTGCTGGAATAAAACATTAAAACGCGCTCATTTTATTATGATTTCGTCTTGTTGCGATCATTCTTGAACACGTGCGTCTAATTAATGAATGTAACTCTTTTGTGCTTGATCGTTATAAAAAATGTGACTACTTTAATTTTTTACAAACGAGTTAATTTATTTCATTTCGTACTATTTACCTTTTTAATTGGGTGGATTTACAAATTAATAATAGACTATTGGTGTTTAAAATGCGCACATGCATGATAAGAAAATCTCCTGATGTTAAAAGAGCAAATTATTTACTCTAAGGAAATCTACTTGAAGATTTTTTCCCAAGTAAGAAAGTGAATTATTTCCTTTTAATTAATAATTTGATCCGTTGTATTTCACGGATTTGTGCACCTCCATTTATTTCAAACAAGAGCATTCTTGATCAAAATCTTTAATTGGTACTCTTTTCGATTTATTTTTTATAAAATATTACAAATTATAGATAGATTCGTATACAAGATGTGTCATCATTCCAATTGCATGGTATCTGTTCATGTTAATGAGATCGCGCGAAAACGATAGATAAGATTTGCATCCAAGTTTCCTAAAAGTAACTCTAAAATAAAAATGCCTTGTACAGATAAATATTTGAGTTAACATCAAAATAATTCATATATTGTATCTTACTTCCCTTATAATCGATTACTCAACCGTTTGGCTTCTCGTAAACTTGCATGATTGCACTGTTCTAGAGCCTCAAATTTGGTGAAGTACCAGAACACAAATTTTTCATCACGTGATTTTGGCGTGCGCATGAAGGTGACGAATAGTGTGACAAATAGGAATTTTCCAGTTTTGAAAGTTGAAAAAAAAATTATCAAGAATATCCAAAAATCATTTCGATCAGTTCTCGATTTTCAAAAAAAAATTAAAAGATCGTTTATGAATTAAAAATTCATCAAAACCGATGAATTAATTATACGAGGGGCAGAAAAATTGTTGTTCGGGCCGGAATACAACCGAACAACCGATTTCAGTTTTTGAACGCTTTCCCTCTACTACTAGAAACATTTGACACGTGTCATATATCTTATGCGGCATGCTATATTATATAATTCCCTCACCTTTTTATTTTTTTCAGTTAATTTGTAAAGTAAAACTTTGATCAGTAGGTATACAATTATCAATTTATCAATCTTCCATCAATCTTTCCATTTGAGACGGAATGTTTTTTTTTTTAAAAAAAAAGATAAAATAATAATGGTAAGACTCTTTTCTTTATTTATATTAAAGGGATCTTAAAATCTTATAAGCTGACTCAGTGCAAAGACAACATTTTAATTGACACCATAAAAATGAAAATTTTCCTTTAGGTGTGTGATCAACGATTTGATGCACACGTGTTTATTATCAACGTTTTTCTTTAAACGGGAATTATTCCTTTTCGTAAAAAAAAAATAATAAATCATTTAACGATGAGTTTTAGGCTCACGGAAACTTTCCATGTGATACAAATCTTCGATTGATTCTGGCAAGTTTGAAACCTGAAATTTCGGGAAAAAAAACAAAAACATAAAAGCTTTGGATTAATTTGCCATTTTTAAGTTGGTAGTTAAATGATCTCGATCGTTATAAGCCACAACCTCGGAACATTGACAACAATCTTAAATTCGATTTAAAAAGGTATGATTTAGGTCGTCGTTAACAGTAATCAATTCAATAAAGAATTCGCTTATTTGAGCCCGTTTTTTGAAACAGAATATAAGAGAGAGGAGTGAAGTGCTGACGCGAATCAAATTTACGAAATTTTTTTTGGAGTCGAAGAGATACGCAGTAATTAGATAACGCAGTCACAACAATTTATTTTTCTGTGAAGACCACATTTCCGAAAAATCAAATTTCGACCGATGGTTCTCTAAATCAGATAATCTTATCTTAAAATCGTCATAAGATAACAGATAATGCGTGTATTAACGTAAAATTTAATCACTTATCGCAAATTTGTGATATATATGTTTCTTATCTCCAAAAAAAAAATATATCGAGATATATATATATAATTATCACATTCTGTTAAATTAAAAATTGATAACAAATGTTGTGGAAAAAAAACCAGTTTTACCTCTATTTAGAAGCATGTCAAAAATTAAATGTACAACCTAAAAATATAAACAAATGTAACCAGAGTAACATAGTAACATAGATAAGCAAGCAAGCCTATCGCTATTATTTTGCAAATAAATAAATGAAAAAAAGGAGTTGGTTGGTTGGTTGTGCGACACGTGTGGCATGTATGTTTTCTATCAAAAACCCTTTGTCATCGGAAATGATTTATTTGAAAAAACATTCATTATATTGGCGTAAGCAATATGAACATCGTAAGCCAAATTGGTAGAAATCCGGTTGAAATATTTATCAATCCTAAAAATGGAATTTTCCTTATGATTATACATATTCTAGTCACAATTTTTATTGGTTATAAAATTTTTAAATATAATAGATAAACCAAATTGGGAAATGAAATCGTCTTTGAATATACAAAATTCCCCGCAATTTAATAAAGATTTTTTTTTTTATAGATAAGAAAGAAATTTTTATTGCAAAGATAAGCCGTAATCAGCAAATTAACATTGTAATAAAGTGGGGGAAATTCTTATCATTCACATTCAAAATTTTTCATTCATTTTTATTTAACAATACAATTATTATCTGGTTAATCAAACGGAGATCATCGTTGATTATGATAAGATAAATTACGCGTTTATACTCACTGTTATAAATATGAATCGCTATACATTACTTTTCTCAATGTGATTGTGCAAATCTTTTTAAATCGTTTTTAATCGTTATTTGTAAACATCAGAGGAATTGGTTCATTTAATTTGAATCAAGATTTGAATTTGGAAAGATTTAAAATTTTTATTTCATCAATGAAACAAACAAATTCACACTAACGATAAATTCGTAATCAATGCATTATCAAAATTTATTTTTGCTTTTTGGAATTCTAGAAATACAATTCCTTCAATTTGATAAGCACAAGTATTACAAAAAAAACAGATTATCTGTTATGATATGCAGCGGATGATCGTAAGTTACTAACGCGAACGAATTATTCTCTTATCATTATAACGTTATTTTCGACTAAATTAGATAAGACAAAGAAAGACGGTAATACGACATTGTTTGGATAGAAACTTTCAATTTTTTTACAAGATTAATCTAAAAAAAACATTTAAAAACCCTTGAAAATCTAAGTATCGAACTTTGCTTTTGCTTTTCTCCTTTAGTAGAAGCAAACTCCAAAATCTTTGAAACGTTTACTTCTTTGAAACGAATTGACCTCCATTTTTTGAAACGACTAATATTAAATAAAAATAAATAAATTAATTTTACAAAAAAAAAAAAAAAAAAAATGGTTAGATTATTCGCCAATCCGATCCCCGTTAACGAAAACCAAAAGGCCGATGCGATCAATCTTCTCAAAGGGTCAAACCCTCACATGAGAGCATTTCATTTTTCATGGCTTTCATTTCTTACGGCATTTACAGGCTGGTTCGCAATTGCACCCCTCATGCCATCTATTAGAAAAGATCTCAAGTTAACACCCGATCAAATTGCTGATAGTAATATATCAAGCGTTTCTTCCACAATCATTTTCCGTGTTTTGGTTGGACCATTATGTGACCGCATTGGACCAAGACGTGTTATGTCCGTATTACTCATGGTAGGCGCTATACCTGTGGGCCTTAGTGGTTTGGTACAGAGCGCTGAAGGATTAATCGCTGTACGTTTCTTTGTTGGAATCCTTGGTGCAACATTTGTTCCTTGTCAATTCTGGACGACTCAAATGTTTAATAGTAATGTGGTTGGAAGTGCTAATGCTTTAGTAGGAGGTTGGGGAAACATGGGAGCTGGTATTACTTACGTATTAATGCCTTTAATCTTTGATGCCTTCTTTGTTACTGCCGGTATAAGCGAATCATTATCATGGCGTGTCACTCTAATATTTCCTGCTCTCCTTTGCTTTGTTATTGGATTATGCGACTTTCTTTTCACTGTTGATTGTCCACAAGGTGATTGGCTTCACCCCACCACTGAAACTGCTTCGGAAGTTCATAAAGCCACTTCAGATAAGAAAGATGATATTAGGAGCATTGACGAGACAGAAAAACAAGCTCATCATCAAGCACCACCAAGGCCCGGCATGAAACAATTCTTATTGGCACTTAAGGATCCAAACGTTATCATTTTAATGTTCATGTACGCTTGTTCTTTTGGTGTAGAACTTGCCGTAGATAATGTTTTGGCGGTTTTCTTTCATGACCATTTTAATATTTCACAAAAAAGTGCCGGTTTAATCGGTTCACTTTTTGGTTTGATGAATTTATTTTCACGTGCTACTGGAGGTTTCATTTCTGATTATGCAAATGAAAAGATGGGAATACGTGGTAGAATGCTTGTACAATTTATTGTATTATTATTGGAGGGTTTATTCTTGCTTATATTCCGATTTAGCTTGCATAATTTAGGAGAAGCAATTGTCATTTTAATCATATTCAGTTATTTCACTCAGGTAAGAAAATCAAGGGATCTTTCTTTCTCACGCGTTTATTTTTTTTAAAAAAAAGTTGTTTTACTTAAATCATTTCTTTTTTTATAGGCATGTTGCGGTACGTCTTTTGGTATTGTGCCTTTTGTGGACCCCGCAATTGTGGGAGCTATATCAGGCTTGATCGGTGCCGGAGGAAACATTGGTGGCGTAGCATTCAACGCAGTATTCAAACTTTATTCAGGTGGTGACACCCCAATTGGGTTTATGGTACTTGGCATCGTAGTAATGGTAGTTTCATTTTCAACATTTTTATTAAAAATTGATGGAAGAAGATTGATTGAATTTAAAAGTAGATAAAAACCAAAAAAAAAAAAAAAAAAAAACCAAATTTGTCAAACCCATTCACTTTTAACCTAGAATCATACTCTTGACAATATCTTTATTATTATTATTATTATTATTTTTTTTTTTTTTTTTTAAAAAAAAAACCAACAAACAAAAAAATTTTATATTATCATCTACAAATTAATTTTTTTTTAACAGCGAAAGAATATGTAAATCAAATGTAATCTAAAATGTAATTATAATAATTCTTTAAAAAAATAAAATTTCATAAAAATTGATTTTGAATTATCACTTCCGTTTTCTTTACTTTTTTGGTTAAATCAAACTGAATCTAATCAAATTAGCTTAAAAATCCATAAATAGAATAGTACTTTACTTATTCACACTTTATAAAGTTTGAACATATTTTGTTAAGCTAGCTTGAATATTTGTGCAATTTTTTTTTGTAACGAAATGACATCAATTTTATATAACCAAGGTCATTTGGTAAAAATGGACCTTAAAATTTCACATACCTGCTAAAAAAAAAAGTAATTTCGCAGCAAACCGTTGACAATTAGACATGTCATTTCTTGCTATTTTAAAACTAGTGGAAAAATGTGAGAGCAAAATTTTTTTATTGTATACAAGTTATAAAATAAAAAGAACCGATAGGTGTCGTCAAAAGATAAGTGGATAATAAAATCAACAGAGCCTTTAACATAAATAAATAAATAAGTAGTCTATGGTTAATTTATAACTCGTTCTGGCTTCGCTTCCAATAATGCAGTTAATTCGACCAAAACGTTTTGTGTTTCTTCAGGATTAACGATCCATAATGTACAACATTGGTGCCTTGTAGCGAAATCATTTCCAGTAGACAAAAACTAGGAAGAATAATAATAATAATAAAACAAACGCGTTAAATAGGCAATTCATTCGTAAGAGTTAAATTTGTTTTCACTTACTTGATCCCCTACATGTAAAGTTTCATGTGGCTTTGCGCCAAGGAAGTCTTGTAATAGTTGTACCCCTATAAGTTTATTCCCACTAACACGAAAAAAAAAAAAAGACATTTAAAAGACATTCATTTAAAATACCTATGATCAAAGTACAATATTCTTACTCACATATCTACCCATACGTCACTCCCGCCATTGAATGCACAAAATGGCAATGAATTCTCACTTCCTAGTGGTGAATGTAGATAATTCACAATTCGATGCTGTGTAGATAATACACACTCATCCTAAAGAATTTATATACGGAATCAAAAATTAGTAATTAACCAACGGTTATTGCAAAAGGGCACTTGAGATGTTAAAACTTACCAACTGCTCTCGAAATATCTTTACATTAGGTTTAGGCACGATACCTGTAATGGTAAGAATGTTAGAATGATGTAAAATTAAATTAAATTTCACAATAATACTCACCAACCGCCTTGCTTTTACGTAACACTGTACACGGCAACTTCATATCGTCAATGCACCTTTGCAAATTCTCTTGAGCTACATCCAATATGGCGTTAATCTGATTGGGTTTCCAGGAATGGACATAGTGTGGTTGATACTCACTATATGTCAAGAAAATAATACGCGTACAACTGAAACTATATCTACTATATAAAACAATATTTTAACAAGATCAAACTTACGATTCCTTAATATATTTTAAATGATAATTTTCTTGACATTGAAAAAGGTAATTGCATTCACCACCTACAAAAAACGAAATCGTTCAGTCTTAAATCAACAAAATAGTGCCCACAAATTTAAATTGACTTACCCAACAAAAAAAAATTTTCACACATCTCTTTTGACAGTCGTGCATTTTCAAACCCTTTTAATAAACCAGATAGTCTTTGTTCATATCGAGAAGCATCTCCGGAATATCCAGCAGCTGTAACCACGCAAACATACAGCTTGTGTTCTAATAACCTCATAAGTAATTTAACCAATTCTGAATCATGCTCAAAATCTTTTCCATCATCATAAAGTGTCATATCCCCATCACTAGATTAAACGAAAAAAAAAGATTAACATCAGGTTCAAAATAAAATATCGTTCAATTACTTACAATGTTATTAATTTGAGTTTTGGTGCAATTGCAATGTTCTAAACCGATGAAACCATTTAGTTCAAGTTAATGTAAAACCTGATCGATTTTAAATTAACTCATACCTGGGCCGTGTTTAATATTCTGTTAATTAAAAGATAATTAATAAGCGGGAAAACGTTATGTGAAAAATAATTAATTTCTATAAACAAACCTTCGAATATCGTTGAAGCTTGGAGGTACAAATCTACGCGCAGCAATAGAATGCTTGGTATTAGCTAACAAAAATGATTCGCGTAACGGTAATTGAGTATGAAAAGTTGATATGGAAGGAACAAGTCTTTTAAGTCTTGATTGGTCAGGAACACCTAACGTTTTACGTTTTAAATCGGAATGGTTAAGATTAGACATAAAGAAAAGACTTAATTAAATAGTTAATTTTTAAACCTTTAGCTTGTTTTCGAATATGCTCCTAAGAAATTATGGAAATTTTTTTTTTTTTAAATCATGAAATGTTTTTACCATTTTACTTTATATACTTTATGCTTACCTTTATCAAATCTTCAATACTTGATAAAATGTCACAATACCTAGCAACATTTGCATCCATATGATAATCATCGTCACAGGTTGAATCCTCCTTTTCAGTTGAATCATAGGCTTGTGGAAGTGGCTTCGCGTGAAGAACGAATGGGGTCATAAGCATTCCCTATTGGTACATCGAATTTGAAAAAGAAATTAAATAATTTTTACCATTTTTTCTGAGATATAAATTAAAAACTACCTTTATGAATTCGATAAATGGATCACGCTTATGAGCTCGAAGAGCATAATTTATCTTATCGAAAGGTACAAAAAAGGTTAGTATAAAAAGAAACTTTCTGCGGCAATTTTATTGGAACCAACCCGAAATTTTTAAGGTTTCATATAACTTTCTCAAAACTCACGGTATACACAGAAGTCATGATATATTTTTTAGCAATAATCAAAAGTGGGGAAGCTTCATTATAAGCGGTTCATATAATTTCTAAAACGAGCAATTCCTAATTATACTAAATTTGGGTTATTCCCCACATTGAATAGTGACTTATAAAGTAAGGATTACTATTTTGTCCCACCTTTGTTTTTAATTTGGAAAAACAAGAATAAACCTTTTTTTGGAGCACGTGATTATTGCATATTTTGTTCATGTTAAATGTAAATTTTAATAATTATTGAAGATGTAGTTTACAATTTCAAAAATGTACAAACTATGTATAAAAAAACTAAAATCGGGTTAAATGGTAATAATAAAAGAACGATAAATTTGGAGGTTGATTTGTATTGTGTAATGAGTTACCTAAACTACTAAAAAAAAATAAAAAAAAAAATCCGTCTTACAAATATAATGTGATAAAACACAAATCTACATATCCTTAATTTTTTTTCTTCTCGAAAGTGGGGAACCTACCTTTTGATGGACAAGAAACAACCCTAAAACTAACACCAACTATACCATCATCGGGATTCGCAATTTTAGAAAAAGCAGCAATTGATAAATCAACTTGATTCTTTTTACAATCTTCACATTCATCAACAATTTTGACTACTACTTTCTTTTTGTTCTTTGGATTGGTTATTTCAAGACATTTGAAACACATCTTTAGGCTGGACATTGCACCAATAAGATCATTTGGTTTCGAGTTATATTCACGAAGTCCATCATGACCATAACAAGCAGCGTTATCAAGTTTATGACCTTCGAAAAAGGTAATTTTAGGCGAATTGCCTCGTTTTATTCGAAGGGAATGAGTTGTGATATATTTTTTGGGGATGACAGATCGTCGATTTTCAATAGTATCATTATTCTGTGCGGTAATAACAGTGAAAGCAAGAAAGAGTGTAAGGAAGAAAGTAAAGGTCTTCATTATGAGAGTTATTTCTTTTTTTTAAAAAAAAATAAAGAATGATTAATTGTATATAAAGGGAATAAATGAATGTAAAGTCTATTAAAGGAAAGGTTTAGACAGCTAAAAAAAAAATTTCAATTTGTTTGCACAAGAAGCAAATTACTTTTTTTTTTCTTATAAAAAATAAATCGGGAATAAATTTTCATCCAAATTCAAAGAGTCCATTTATTGAAATTTTATGATTCTTTGTTCTAATTTTTTAGGAATTTTTTTTATTCGTATGTATTTCACAAGAAGGCGGTAGTGTTTTATCAAAAACAAACAATCGCACAATTACAATTCAATGCCATATTGAAGAGCATACATTAAGATTGCATTAAAGGATAATCCGTAAATGGGAAAATAAAGTGAAATTGCGTAATAAAATTTTCTGGGGCTAAAATAATATTCTAATCTTTTATTAGGTTGACTTTACTCGTGTTTTTTATAACGAGACTAGTATAGAGCTTTTTCTTCAGAATCTTTTAGCTTTCAGATGAGTATCTAAGTCCTCGGCCAATAGATTTTTCTTCTTCTTTAAGGCATTTATATCTTTCATAACAAGTAAAGGCTCTGTCTTCTTAAGACAAAAATGAAAATTCCTTTTTCTTTACCTTCACAAGTAGATTTACTGCTACAGCCATTGGTTTGGTATTTAATCTGCTGCATTTTTTATACTCTGGTAGTTCATAATTCTCAAACTTTTTTTAGCTTGATAATCAAAATATTTTATTGAATCTATATCGATAGAAAAGGTAGGAATCCAAAATTTTTGCTAATTTTAATTATTAAGCTAATTTTATTTATATAAATGACTGAAATCAGCCTAATAAAATAAACAAACTACTTTGCATATGAAAAACTATCTTATTTATTTTTATTATATTTAATAATTGAAAATAATGATTTTTTTATATAAAGTTATATTTTATTTTATAAATTTTTTTGTTATCCCTTTTTAAAATTTCTATATTAATAATTATTTTTAGATTTATATTTTACTAAAAAAATCTTTGAATTTTAATAACATTTTACAGAAATTTTTATTCTTTTTTTCTTTAAATTTATTTAAATAAATCTATTAATAATATTTATATATAAAAGTTTATTTAAATATTTTTATATTTTAAAAGTAAAGATAAATTATTAAAATATTTATTATTATTATTTTAAATAGGAAAAGAATTTTTAAATTCAGAATCTTAAAATATTAATTAGTAAAAATATAAATATAATTAAACATTTTAAATCAATTTAATTTTCAATACATTTTATTATAATTGTTATGCTGTTAAATATTTTTTCAATTTTTTTATATCTTTTTAATTATTTAATATAATTATTAATAAAATAAATAAAAAATATATGTAATAAATATAATTTAATGTTACTAATTATTAAATAATCAATATTATTAAATAAAAAGAGTTTTTCTTAATATAAATTAATTTTTTTAGTCATAAATAAGATATTGTAATATTGTAAAATAATATTTAATTTGAAATTATATAGTAAATTTATATTAAAAGTAGGTAAATATTATTAAATCTAGAATACAAAATAAAATAAATTACATCATTATTAAGTTAATTTTAAGTAAATAAATTTCTTAATATCTTAAATTATATTATATAAAATTATATAGTCTTTTATTCTAGATTAATAAAAAAATTTTTTTTTATAAATAAAAATAATAAATGTATTAAATAAAATAAATATATAAAATATAAAAAAAATAATAAATATACCAGTTATAATAAATATAAGAAATATAATAGAGATATTAAGTATATTAAAAATCAGACATATTATACTTATTAGGCTAATTAGTAAAATCAGAAATATCCTAAGAATCAGAAAAATCAGGAATATAATTGAATATAATAAATATCAAGATCAGGAATTATACAAATCCTTTAATTTTATGATTATTATAAAATTAAATCTAGTAGCTTTTTATAATATTCTTTGCAGATCAATTTTTAATTGAATTTTAAGCTTATTAAAAAATTTAAAGATAATTTTTAATTATATACTGTTAATTAAATTTTTTTAATAACGATAATAAATTTATCTTTTTAATAATTATTATAAATAATCTTTTTTTATTAATTTAAAATTTAAAAATTAGAAATATACTTAACTTAGGACCTGATCCTAGAACCTTTGGTCCTAAATTTGATCAAAAAATTGATTATAATAATAATATTTAAAATAAACTAATTTTTAAAACTCGTAATTATTTTAAAATTAATCAGGACTTTAAGGCTTTTCCAACCCTACCTACGGTACCCGCAAGGGCCAGCTCCGTTTATTATAATCGTCAAACGAAAATTGTCAAGAATTTAACCCTAAACAGAAGACTGAAAAGGTCATTTTATAATCATCTTATATACGACAATTTAATTTCATTTCGTTTACGGGAAAGGTGGATTATATGAACCGCAGATCTTTGCAAATTTCACCCGAAATGCTAATATATTTCTTATTAAAAAAGACTATCGAGTAAGAGTAAAAGATTTATAATCTTAAAGCATCCATAAAAGTCACGCCTGTGAACATTTTACGACTGAATTCGAACTATGACTTGGATAACTTTCTGAAAAATCGGGAGTGTCGTTTTACACCAAAATCTTTTTCTGACAACAGAAAAATAATTTGATTGGGTGAAATTAACCTTGATGATATAAATTACATTGATAAAATTTTTTCCAATTGAATATGCAGGAGAATTTAGGAAACCGAGGTAGTGCATTTATTCAGTGTATCGAGATTCTTATCATGTTCCACAAGAATTACCTGCATTGAGCGTGTTGGTCGTCATTTCATCTCATCCGCAATGGTTATCCCATTGATTTTCAGCATAATGCGTCGGGTTCATTGGCAGTTTGCTTGTCTACGGCACAAGAAGGTAACGGTTCAACCAATTTGAATAACATGGTGTTGCGAAATATGATTAGTATCTTAATGAAATATATTTCATTCAGTTACCACACATGCGTGAATCCATAAAAACCATGTAATTTCTTATTATGTATTGTCAAGGCATGTCGGACTCTTTTTTCTTGAAAATGTTGTAAAACAGAACAAGAATAAAGATTGTTGACATAAACAAATCGTCCAATCGGTAATGCTGTTCATCAAATCTATTAAAAAAGTTGCATATTTTAATGTGACCACTCATTTTATTACATTCTTACATTAATTAGTACAAATGAAATGTATTTATTTATAAATGATATATTACTAAAAATAAAGCAATGTTCCATTTATAGAATTTAGACCTAATTCTAAATATAATTAGAAGTTCTGAAATTTTAAATGTCTCTTTTTGCAAATCGCATAAAGTCTACAGCAATGTCAACCGACTTTTTCTTATGAAATTTGTACATCATCGGTACGTCGAACTTGGAAACAAACAAATTCATTATTAGAAAAAATTATGAAGTATGATGTTAATGTCTTGAATTTTAAATTATAGAAACCTTCATCTCGGCAAGAACTTCACATTCTACTCCCCATTCTTTTGATTTTTTAATAATATGCTTAATTAAAAATAAGTTAGATACAATAATGTTATAATAGCCAAATTGTTTTGTCGTAATTCAAATACCTCTCTCGTAGAACTCTTATGTAGAGAATAAACCGAGGTCGTTGCAATCTAAATTCATTATCATAAATGAATGCTGCCAGTAGTAAAAATCACCAGCAATAGGGCAAATTTTGTTAAGTTTTCAAATATACCTCAATAGCGTTCTTGAGAAATATCATATCGATTCCTTTATTATTTTTCGTTCCAAAGGGTGGATTCATTATAATTGTATCAACTTTACTTCGTAAATGGTTCATTGAACTAGAAATTATGTCTGTGAGAACGAATTCTGCATCAACTTCAAATTCGGAACAATTTTCTTTTGCAATTTGAAGTGCGTCATTATCTATATCTAATGCTAAATTATAGCTGTAAAGGAAAGATATAAGAAAATATTTTTTCATTCATTCATTAACTTATTAAACATTTAATAAATACCTTGAGTCGAGAAGATTTGTCGCAATACTGTTCTTTTTAATGTTTTAATAAAAAATATTTAATCCAAGCTATGAAAACACCAAAAAAAACTCGATTCTTCTCTATTTTACCTCAGAATTCCACATCCACAACCGAAATCTGCTACAACCTTACTTTCAATGTCGTCATAAACAGAGTGGGCAGTATAAATCATACGCGCTGCAAGGTGTGGTGTTGTGCAATACTGCTCTAATTTAATTTTGGGTTCTTCTAACAAATGTGTGACATAGTTATATAAAGTTATAAATAAAACTCGTGAAGGGATATCATTATAGAACAAAGGAAATTACCAAACCCGGAGACTTTCTGAAGTGTGCCTTCTAGGTCTTTTAGACGCATGTTCGATGAAATTTTTTTGTCAAATTTGGAAATTTTGATTGGCATTTGTTTATGTTTAATTGGCAGCTCAGCTTATGTAATTGAATTGAATTAATTTTACTATATAAATCAATGATGATGATTTTTTTTTTTTGAAAAATCGTTTAGAAAGAATATTCGTATTTGTTTATAACTAGAAATTTTTTTTCTGAAAGCCTTCTTAAATTCTTTTTTTTTTTTTAAAGGATAATAAACATTGCTATGAATGCCTTGAAGGATGCTGCGACCGTAAACGAAGGTTGACAGTAAAATTCCTATTCCTATGTTCAAACTTCTTTGGAAATAGGCACTTATAATAGATATTTATATCCTTTGTTTTTATCAGACGACGCCAATTTACTCGTGCTGATCATTGATACAAATCCATTGATTTGGACAAGATTAGCAAAATCAACAGGTCTATCGTTAAAGGAGGCTTTACAGCATCTTATGGTATTTATCAACGCTCATTTAGCATTAAAGCATGATAATGAAGTAGCTGTCATTGCAAGTCATGTTGATGTCAGGTAAATATCTTATATAACGTAATTTTCTATAAAAACTTATCATTTATTTATCTTCTTTTTTATTTTATTTAGTAAATTTCTATACCCAATTACCGATTCTCATAGACTATCTGAAGATACAGATCAGACGATAAATTCTAATATGTATCAAAGGTTCAAAGTTGTAAATGACCAAGTGATAAATAATATGAAAGAATTGTTCGAGGATTTATCCAAATTAAATTCTTATCCAGAGAAAGGTATGTTGGATTATCAGATTCTTTTCTCATACGACTTTTCTTTGATTTATCACTTATGCAAGTTAATTCTCTTTTTGACAGCAAGTTCGATGATCGCGGGAGCTTTATCCATGTCTCTTTGTTGTATGTGAAATAATAAATATGTATACGTTTGATGCACTTTCTATTTGAATGATTTTAAGCCCATAAAACCTCATGATATAGATATAAATCGAATCATGAGAGCAGACGAGATTGGTCATATAAAACCTCGAATTTTCATCACGTCTGTTTCACCGGATTCACCTTATCAATACATATCCATAATGAACTGTATTTTCTCGGCACAAAAATTGGTAAGTTCCAAACGAGCATATATTTTTCTTAGTATATATTTAATATTTTCGGATTTTTAGGGAATACCAATTGATGTTTGCAAAGTGCATGGAGAGGATGCTGTATTTCTACAGCAAGCAGCTCATATAACTGGTGGGAGATATCTTAAACTACCAATTCCACAAGGGTTCTTACAATTTTTAATGGTATTTTAATTATAGATTAATAGAATAAAAGATTATATTATGCGCTATGCTATTTACTATTTTCTTTCCCTAGATAACTTTTCTTCCGGATCGATTTACGAGAAATTATCAATGTTTACCCGGAGAAGAAAAGGTCGATTTCGGTGCTGCTTGTTTTTGCCATAAAAGAATCATAGATATTGGATATGTTTGTTCTGTATGTTTATCAAGTATCCTTTGTACACATGCACATATTGCGTTTTTTATTTTAAAATTACCTTAATTCTTGTGAACTGTGTTAAAAGTTTTTTGTCATCAATTGGAACAATGTTCAACTTGCAGGTTTGTACTTTGTCTCTTTAATTTTTTATGGGATATTCAGCATTTATCATTTATAATTCTTTTATTTTTCAGGACCAATCTTATGCTAGCTTCTGTCAATGAAGGTGGTTTGAGGGTAGTCAATGGAATTAAAAAGCTTGACAAATCAAAGGGCCGTGAAAGTGGAGGGAGCACTTAAGGTAACATTTTCTAATTAGAAATTGCAAAAGAGAAAAAAAAAATAACTTTCATTTTTGGATTATCCTATTCACTTATCATTTTATAGAATGTTTTGAAATATATAGTCTTTCAACTCAAAAGTTGTAGAATCAAAAAAATGCTATTGTTAATTACCTTTTCATTAAACTTAAATCATATAGACTAATGTAATTTATGTATTAACCTTGTATATTTCGAGGTTAGGGAATGAATGTATTGACGCAAGATAAAAAAAAAAGCCTTGTCATCAAGAAAATGTACAATCTTCTAAAATTAAAAAAAAAAAGAATTAATATTTCAAGTAAACTTATAAAATAATTTTATAAATTGTAAATATTTATATTCGCAAAATATAAGATATATTAAAAATATTGATAATCATATTAAATTTATTGATCAATGTAACATTTATTCGACAATAATGAGTTTTATACCAAATCAACTCATGATATTTATTTTGATGTAAAAGTGAGTAATTGATTAATAAATTATGGTTCCATTAAAATAAGTGAAAAGTGACTTTTGATAAAATAATTATGTTAAATATCAGCGATTTGTTTTAGTGTGGTATCCAACTCTTCTTGTAACTTTTTACGATCTTCTTCTTTTTCTTCACATTTCTTTTCTAAATCGGCCTTTTCGGATTCAAGGGACGTACATTTACGCTCAAAGTGTTCGGCTTTAACGTCTGTTTGTCGTAGTCTTAAAATGGAACGATAATAAAAATTTATTAATTAAATCAATTAATTTCTAAACATTATTGATAAATATTCTTACTTCTCGGTGGTTTCTCTCAAATTCTTTTCAGTATTATCCAATTCATTCTCGAGTAAAGATACTTTTCGTTGAAGAGCTTCGGTAGTATTAGAAGTGGATTCCTCTTCTTCTTTTGCGGATTTAAGATCATCAATTTTTTTATCTTTACGTTCAAGTTCGGCATCCAAAAGCGAGATTTTGTTGTTAAGCGAAATGATTTCTTGATCTTTGGCGATTAATTCTTCTTTGGCCTTTTTCAATTCGGCTTCAGCATCTTCAGCTCGTTGAGCATTTGCATCGGCTTCGGAGCGAAGCGAGTTGATTTTCTACGGATAAAATCAAGAGCATATGCCGCGAAATTAAATGATATTGTTAACATAAATGAAAATCATGATATTTTCGCGCTCATCGCTTTAAACAAAAAAATCATTTAATGATTTGATATTTAAAACAATGGTTTGAAAGAAAGTCTAAATAAATCACGCGATTAAAGAATATAAATGAACTTCAAGCTAAACTCCATCGCAAATATTTGCATTATAGCTATAATATCTAACCATCTTTTTAACAAAAGGTATATACTGTCATGTAAATAATAAATTTTACTTACTTCCTTAAACTTTTCCATTAAATCTAATAAAATGACCAAAAAAAAAGGGAGGGAACTTAATAGAGATTTTAAATAAAAGGGATTGATTTTTTTTATGACCGTTCCTTTCGTTGTGTTGTGATTGTTAACACGATATAGAAAATGGTAACACAATGAAGCAATTTTGTTCGAAAATTTAAAATTTTACTGCGTTTACTGTACAAATATCGAATTCACGTGAATGATTTGTTGGTTTTGGTTTCTATACATTATTGAACTTACTTTTTTTGTTACCTTCATAATTAATTAAATTCCCAATTCCCTTTCATCTTTCACGTGATGAGTAATTTCGTGTCGGTCTTCAAGTGACTTGTCCTTACAGATGCCACCCTGCGTGGCATTATTAATATGAAAAAATTCTGTTTCTACAGTAATAAAAATAGGATATGATTTGGGATGACAAATATTTTAATAATTTACTAAATAAATCATGTAAGATGAAAAATCTGTATCTTAAGAAAAAAAAGTTAAAATTAAAATAGTACTTATCAAACTTTTTACTATGTATATTCTTAATATCTTATGAAACATTCTTTCTTTATTAAATTTATTAAAGAGTTATGTTCATCATATAAGAAAAACTCTTGTTATATATTGTTTAATGATGAGATCCTTTGTGTTAATATAAAAATCATCAATTAAAAGAATTTAATTTTATATAAATGTTAATAAACATTTAATTTATTATATAATTTATTTATTACTTTATTAATTATACTTTTATTTGTAGTTTTAAATAGAAAATCTTGCTCTGAAATTTTAAATGCTATTAAAATATATAAATTTTTAGCAATTGTTACATACTTTAATCCAAATATCAATTTAATATAAAAAATTACTGTTTTAAAATTTTCTCATAATTAATCTTAGATGTTTAGAATATTATCTTAACCTGATTATTAAAGAATTTATCAAACATACATTTGCAACTTATATTTTAAATTAATCAAATATATTAACTATTTATTATAAAAAGAGTTATTTATCATAAAATCTTTTTTAATTTTAATAAGGATAAATTAAAAAATAAAAAATATTAAAGAAGATAATTTAAAAACTTATAATAAATTATGATATATTGTTATACAAGTAGATTATGAAGTTTACTAACTAAAAAATAGACTTCAACATATATAGCTAGGTTATAGGTATCTGAAGGATAATGATTTAACTTAATAATCTTAAGAACTTATTCGCATTAATAAAACTATAGAATTATTAGTATATCAATTTATATGTACAGGTAATGTTGAGTATATATAGATATAAATTAGGAATACGTAAAATACTTCAAATATAATAGAAGAAATAGGAGAGTAATAATGATAAATTGGATTTTAGATTATGAGTTTAACAAATAAATATTATAGTGATAAAGTTTTGTTTATTAATAAAATATAAGTAAATCAATATGATTCAATAACTAAATAATCTCTTATTCACAAACTTATCAGAATATGAATTTAATTTTCTAAATAATTTATTAATTAACTATATAAACCGAATATAAACTGAGATTTATTTTTACTATAGCAATTTCCTATCCTATTTATATAAAATATTTGATTTACTTTTATTACTAATTAAAAATAAAATAAACTATAAAAACTAAAAAAAAAATTATAAATTAATTAACTATATTAACTAATTTAACTAATTTAACTAAGTAAACAAAAAAAAACTTATTAAACTTAAAAAACTATATAAACTTAGTTAACAATATTATTATTGTTTCTAAGGTTTTAATTATTTTGATTGTTAGATTACAGTTTAAGAAATTATGGTTTTTTTAGTAATAATTTATAGAGTTATAATTAAAGATAGGCACTATAATTAAGAAGTTGCAATTCCTTGTAAATTTATTTTAATATAAAAATTCATAAATAGATGTAACTCAAAGTTAAAAATTTTAAAAATAATTATGGAAACTATAATATTATTCACTTTTTTCAAATTATTTTTGCTTCTATTAGTCTAATAATCTTAAGCTTAAAAGCTTTTAATAAATCAGTTTTTAATAATTGTATTTCTATCAAAATATAATCATTAGATCAAAAGTTATTTTAATTAACAATATAAAATGCTTCAATTAATTTTTAATAAATAATATATTTTGTTTTATTATTCTTTAGATAATAAATTTTATAAATAAATTTATCTGCTTTTTATAAATAATTAATATTTTTTAAAATTTTTTTTTTTAAATTAATTTTATAATATGTAATATATTATAACAAGTTTAATCTTTTAATTAAATAATAAAATATTTAATATTACTTAAAGCTAAAATTTATTATTTTTAACTATATTAATCATAATAGTATATAAAATTATTATAAAGAAAACTTTTTATTATTATAATTTTTATAATTTATTAAGAAATTTTATGATTTTAATTAATAACAAAATGATTCAATTAGTATGTAAACATATAAATTTTTAAAGAATTTATTATAATAAAATTTTAATTTTAAATTAAATTATTTTAAAAACCTTTCAAAAAACTTAAAATCTTTATATTTTTTATATAATAATAATATTACTAAAATTAATATTTAATATTTTATAAAAAAATTAATATAGTGGATTGTCCTAAACTGATATGAGATGAGTGCTAGGAAAATAGACCAAATTGATTTTTTTTTAAAAAAAAGTTCCTAAGTAAAATAGATGTAGATTTGGTCACCTGATTCAGATCATTTGTTATTTCAAAAAAAATTTTTTGTTAATTTGGTTCTTTTTCTCAGCACTCACCCTATATATGCTAGGACGTTATAATCTATTAATTAATATATTCTAGAACGTTATATAATCTATTAATTAATATATCCTAAAGATGGGTCTGCTTTTCTCTCTGTGACTTATTGGTTAGTAAATATGGATGAGATGCACACCTATTTGGTTGTCTTTCAAAATACTAAAGTAGTGTAAAAAAAAAGGTGATGGATAGCGTAATGGATTTGCAATTAATTTTTGCTAGCTCTATAGTATATCTCTGGCTGATCTTTTGGGCATATGATTTGAGGATCCAATTTGATGTCATGATAGCATCATAATAACGTTCTGATAGTTTTATAGAACTTTTTAAAACTTTTATAGAACTGGCAGGGATTTAGAGATATTCTATTAGTTCGCTAGTTTTATGCTAGCTTGAATTCCAAAAAATTATATTCAAAGTTTTGGTCAAAATTATGGATTAGTGTTAGCTGAAATTAAGCAAATAAGTCTTACGAGAAGACTATACTGTAGCTGAACACATATCTAGAAAGATCAAGCCTTCTTCTAATATTTATTATATAGATTATGAAGAAGGCTTCACTTTCAGATATATCTACTTATCTTTCTTTTACGATTTGCTTACTAACTTATTATACGTCTCTTTTTTGAAGGATGAAAAAATAAATACGCTAATAAAAGTATTTATATTTGAGCATATACTAGCGTTAGGGTAGTCTTCTTTTATTATTTTATATAATATTTCTGAAGAAGACTATCCAAAATACATATATCTAGCTACATACTAGTGATAGGGTATTCTTCTGCCAATATTTATATAATAAATTATGTATTTACCTACCCTTATATTTGCCTATTGAGAATATATAGACAATTATATAATACCAGGTATTCTAGGAAAATAATTAAAAATTTTTCTGGGTCACTTCCTAAAGCAGAGTTTATTATATGAAAAATTATTTTTTTTTCGTTTTATCTTGTTCCTATATTATCTTTCCTAGATGACTTAGATATCCTAGTAAAAAATAAAGTTTTTGAAAAAATCAAAATTTTTCTATGGTATTTTTTTTGGTATATGTATCAGTATGCTATATATATACTATATGTATGCTATTTTTTTTTACTATACTCATAGATAAAAAATAAAAAGTAAAGAAGTCTAATTTTTTCTAAACCACCTAGGTCATCTACGGCAGACCATTCAAAAAAACATTCTAGTATCCTAATAAAGTTAATTTGCTATTTCGCTTTTGCCTCTGAAAGTCGAAAATTTCCTAAAGCAGATTTTCTAGAAGAGATTTTTCTAAGGCCAGCACTTTATTGTATTAGATATTTTTATTTTATTAAAAGCTTGACTCATTGCCTCTAGAGTTTGACAGTTCTGAAATATCTTATCCAACTTTTTTTGATGATAATATGCATTTGAGTGATACTTTTTTATATGTCAATCACAAAATCCATATTCAGAAACCATCGGTCTTTCACATCCATCTTATTTGCATAGAGTTTGCTGGTGTCATTTTTGATGAATATAACACCCTTCTAGTTTTCTACTTCCTTGTTCACAAACCTCCCTTTCATTGGAATAATACTGGCAAATGTATTTATCGCCTATTGATATTATTCTTAGATAAATAACACTTTGATATCTATAATTATTTATTTTTATTTTAAATTTTTTTACTAGGCTATTATACTGAAACAGTATACTAGATAACATAACTAAAAATTTTTACTATGATAAAATCTGAGCTTTCAGACTTCCTTGACGCATCCGCTACACATTTTCACCCAGAGGCTGAAAAAATTAAAATGGAAGGCCAACTGATTCGCTATTCTGGTGAAAAAAGCTTGTCAGATATCCAAACACTGAATGATATAGTTGCAGAAAATGATGAGAGATTATCTTCAATCCTCGAAGATGCTTTATCTAAATAATAAGATATTTCATTCATGACTATTAAGAATGAAGGATCAACAAAAAGGATAAATAGAACATACTGCTATATATTGCATCTTTATAATCATCTTATTAATGGTCAAAAGACACTGGTAACTCTTATAAACATTCAAGTTTTCTTTGACGTTCTTGTACTAGATGGAGAGACTTCAGATGAATGTGAAGAAAAGGTGAGCGAATTTCTCTCTAGCATTGTGAAATCATTTAAAATAAAGCACATTAAAGCTTTTCATTTTCGGGATTATCATACTGAAAAAAAGTCATATTTACGAATTTATATGAATGGTATTGGAGAGAGAAAGAAAGCCATCCAAACTATCCAAAAAATAATTTTAAAACTGCTTTAGATGATTTATACTCATTCCACTAAAATGTAGCTTAAAAAAATGGAATCCAACTCTTTGGATGGTCTACAATAAATAAATATACTGTATATGCAAGAAAGGCAAGCAGACTAGCTCGCTTTATTTGCACGAATTCTATATATCTATAAAAGAATTCTGTTCACTGGAAGATCTTATAACAATAAGTGACCGATTTCTCATTTCAGCTCTCTTACGAAATCATACTCTTAGAACATAGAGACCCAATTACGAGAGTTAGGCGAATTTGCTGAAGTCCTTGATCTGAATCATAATATTTTTATGATTTGCATGACATTGCATTAGAAAGATGATCCAAAACCATTAAAGCAAATATGTCTTGTCGATGTTGAAACAGAAACAGATTCACGCTGCATCACAATCATTTGCAGAAATCAAGTAAATCTGCTAAACGCTTTTGCTTTCTGCTGGTGAGCATTTGCCTCTAACATCTTAGTTAGGTTTAACAATTCAGTCTATGATTGGCATTTTATTATGAAGAGAGCATATCATTTCAACATACTCGAATGAATGTGAAAGCAAATGACTTTTTTTTTTTTTTAAAGATGCAGTAATGCATTTATTTATTATAAAAATTCATAATCAGTTAATTAAAACATGAAA